TCTCTAGAGTGCCTCCCTGCTGTAGTCATCTGGCTTGCAAAGTAGGAAAAGTGAGGCAGCCCAAGGGGATTGATCTTGTATAGTCTTACCTTAGGTGCCTGTCGCATTGTTCCAGGAACCAACTCACCTCTTCTTATCTGTTGTCATTTGTGACCTGCAGGCCAACATCCCTTAGACTGGGCACTTAACACTCACCTGCCACTTGGAAGTAGGTATTCTGCAGCTGTCTGGGAGCTGGGGCTGAAACCTGTTAATTTGAAATGTTTTATGTCAGCAGAAGGATTGGGGACCAGTAGTCATTAATGAAGGTATTCCTCTATGGTGGGGTTTGATTTGGAAATTCTCTGTAGTGATCAGCAGCTCTTTCGAGTGGATATTGTTTCCAAGAGTGGGCTACAGCCCACCAAGGGGGTGTTTGCCTATGAAGTAGAATTCTTCTTGGAAGTTGAATGCCCGAGACTCTTTTAGGGAGGTGTGAGCACACAGCAGGCATCATGACAGGGGAAAGGCTTTTAGAAATATATGTTGTAGGATCTTTAATGTGTTGGTTTCAGCAAAAACACCATGGTACCAAGTGCTCCTAATCCTAGAAGGAGCGGAAGGTGGCAGCTGTTTCGGAACAAAGAGAAATCATTTTCTCCCTTGACATAAGACAGAGTGATCTGACCAGTGCATTCAGAGCTCTCTGAGCACGGCCAGTCCGGTGGAGCTCTGGTTGAGCACAGGTGGGGGTGCAGGGTCAGGACCGCACAGTGCCATGGGCCCACTGGAGCCATGGATGAAGCTGTGGAGAGGGGGCAGGGGACAGAGGCCCTGGTGGAGCCGACACTCTGGGCCTTTGTCTCAACTGATTGGTGGTTACCTGTCACCCTTTCTTCTGCCTGTTTTTTTCTCCCTTTACAAGCCATCTTTTGACTACCATTTCTAAGATAAGCCTTGGCTTGTAAGAAAAAGAATGGGCTCTATTTAGGAACTTTAAAATAATTCTTTTGCTGCTTACTGCTACCTAGAATAAACTTTTGTTTAGGGGAACCTTAAGGAAGATTAGTTCAGTTAGGTCCATTTCTTGCTGGACTCTTAGCCATTTAGATATTGGGACAAGCTGTTTTTTAGCATGTAGTTTTTACATTCAGAGCCAGAAAGGGTTGTTGAGTAACTGATATTTGAGATGAGAAGCTGAATCAGTGTATTCCTGGTAAAGAATTATAATCTCTGAGTTGGCCTCCACAGTACATGAAGAGAGTGTTATGTCTGTTGACACAGGAAACATTGGGGGAAATGGAAGTTCCTTATATTACATTATTACTTTTCTCGTGAAAGTTAAGGCACATCTCCCTTAAGATGTAGTTTGACCTTGTAATCCCATGCTGAGGTACGGAGAGAAGCAGGATGTTGTTTGCTTCACAAAGGGGCCTACCCAATATAGCGGCTTCAGGATAGAGCACAGGTGTAACATCTCTGACAACAAATGGTGTATTTTTTCCTTACATATATGTGCAACACTAACAATATTATACAGAGCAGGAATAGCAGTATAACTTCATTCTGGTACCCAGACCCAATTCCAATGTGTATAAGTGTGTGGGAGGGCGTCTTCCCACACATATGTACACCAAGCAATTCTTGAACACCAGCAGGGTATTGGAGAACTCAACTCAATTTCTGATGCTGTCTGCCCGGAGAGGCACCAGATTTCCCAGGGTTAGGGCTCCGTCGTACTCAACAGCCCTCCTCCCCTGCTCCAGGTGCTGGTCACAAGCCCCAGGCAATTACCTGTGCTTCTGACCTACCGGCTACAGATTGGAGGTTCCCACAACCTCCCCCTTAGGTTCAATTAATTTGCTAGAGTGGCTAACAGAACTCAGGAAAACACTTAACGTTTACCAGTTTAATCAAGGATACCCTAAAGGATACAAGTTCACAGCCAGATGAAAAGAGGCAGAGGGCAGGGTCCCAAATACAGGAGCTTCTGTCCTCGTGGAGCTGGGGCCCCGGCTCCGGGGCATGTGGAGGGAGGTGTTCTAGTTCCCCAAGCGCAGAAGCTCCCTCTGACCAAGAAGCAGGATCCGGGCCAGCCGAGCCCGCAGAGAGAGTGAGCAAAGAGCAATTCTCACAGGTTTCGTGAGGGCTTCACTGCATAGTCATGATTGTCTAAATTATTGGCAATGGACTGATTCAGCCTCCAGCCCCTGCCCTTGGGTGGGAGTCCAAAAGTCTCTCATTAACATGAAAAAACACTCAGTTCACCTTTAAGACTGCAGTGCTCTCAGGAACTGGATGAAGACCAAATATATCTGGGAAAGATATAGTTGGCTTTATGAGTGACCAAATAAGTATTTCTATGACTCACTATGTCACAGCGGGCCTCTTCCACGTCAGTCTGGAGCCCGGGGCCTGGCCCGAGGACTGTTCCAACAGCACACGCCATTCCGTGGTTCCCACTTCCCTTGGGTCAGCTCACTAAATCATGGTCATGCTAGCTTGTGAGCCTGTCTTAGACATGGTGCAGCAGCAGCCTGCCGTCTCCCCCGTCTCCAGGGCACGACCTCTTTGAAGCAGAGCTCCAGTGCAGTCCTATTTGTCACACTAGGGGAGCACTGGTGGTGTGCCCAAGGTGGACTGTTCTGACTGGCACCAGGGATGCATCTGAGCCTGTGACTGTGAGGATTTTCTCAGCTGCAACTCAGAGGATCTCAGAATTTTAGAGGCCAAGCAGTCTAGCTGCCTCATGTCACTCAGAGAAAATGGAGGCCCAGTGAGGTGGTGAGAGATGAAGGGTCACGCAGCCAGCTTCTGGCGCAGGAGGGTTCAGCCCTGCTGGTTCTCATCTCTGCTCTTCCTAAGGTTAGCTGGGCTCTTGGCAGTCTCCTACCTCCCAGTAACAGTGCCGTAGCAATGGCAAATACATTGAGAGACAACGGCACAGATGCGCAGGGGTGAGTGGCCGCCAGAGCACACACAGCACCATCCCCCTCTCATCACATCTGATGGCCGTGGTGGGGGTGGGAGGCTTGAGAGGTGGGAGACAGAGGTGTCATCATTATCATTGTCAGGTATGTTTGTGGGCAGAATGGAATGGCTATAAAACCTTCCCCCTGCTGGGTTCCTTGCACAGTGACAGCACTTTTTTTTTTTTAATTTTTTATTAAGGTATTATTGATATACACTCTTATGAAGGTTTCACATGAAAAAACAATGTGGTTACTACATTTACCCATATTATCAAGTCCCCCCCATACCCCAATGCAGTCACTGTCCATCTGTGTAGTAAGAGGCCACAGATTCACTGTTTGCCTTATCTGGGCTACACTCTTCCCCGTGATCTCCCCCTACACCATGTGTACTAAACATAATACCCCTCAATCCCTTTCTCCCTCCCTCCCCACCCGCTTTCCCCCACCCATCCCCTTTGGTAACCACTAGTCCCTTGGAGTCTGTGAGTCTGCTGCTATTTTGTTCCTTCAGTTTTGCTTTGTTGTTATACTCCACATATGAGTGAAATCATTTGGTACTTGTCTTTCTCCGCCTGGCTTATTTCACTGAGCATAATACCCTCTAGCTCCATCCATGTTGTTGCAAATGGTAGGATTTGTTTCTTTCTTATGGCTGAGTAGTATTCCATTATGTATATATACCACCTCTTCTTTATCCATTCATCTACTGATGGATGCTTAGGTTGCTTCCATTTCTTCGCTATTGTAAATAGTGCTGCAATAAACATATGGGTGCATATGTCTTTTTGAGTCTGAGAACTTGTATTCTTTGGGTAAATTCCAAGGAGTGGGATTCCCGGGTCAAATGGTATTTCTATTTTTAGTTTTTGAGGAACCTCCATACTGCTTTCCACAATGGTTGAACTAGTTTACATTCCCACCAGCAGTGTAGGAGGGTTCCCCTTTCTCCACATCCTCACCAGCATTTGTTGTTCTTAGTCTTTTCCATGCTGGCCATCCTAACTGGTGTGAGGTGATATCTCATTGTGGTTTTGATTTGCATTTCCCTGATGGTTAGTGATGATGAGCATCTTTTCATGTGTCTGTTGGCCATCTGAATTTCTTCTTTAGAGAACTGTCTCTTCGTATCCTCAGTGGCAGCACTTTTTCAATCCTTAGATCCCTGTTGACTTTGACACTTTCTGAACTTTGTGCTGCCTACGCTGATATGAGCTGCCCCTTGGTTCTCTTCAGACTCTGCACTCTGCCCACAGTCTTGTTAGAGAGCTCGTTTTTCTCCACCAGCCCCTTCCAAACCGGTGGATCCCAACCCTGCTCTTCTGGGCACTCCAACTGCACGATCCCACCACTTTCCCCACCTCACCTCCCCGCCATGTGCTCATGACTCCCCAGTGCTCCCCTGAACTTCAGCTTCATGCCCGACTGCCAAGCGAGCTCTTCCATGAAGATAGCTCAAATGTGACAGGTCCAAAAGGGAACCAGTCCCCATCCCCAAAACAAGGCCTTCTGTTTTTAATCCATTGGCTTGGTGTCACCACTTACTCAGTGGCCTAAGCTGGAAACCTGGGTGGGTGTCCTTGACTCTTCTGCAAGAGTCACTCATGCCTTCCTGTTTTACTTCTTTCTCATGTCCTACACTTCTTCCCTGCTGGGCTCATGCTTGTTCTGAAAGTCTCAGCTATCGGGCCTCAGAGATTCATCTTCAACAGGCCCTTCTCCCTCTTACTCAGGTACTCTTCCTCCCATTCCCAAAGCCTCCAAGTCTCTCTGGTGACACTCGGCGAGCACGTGAGCAGAGTGCCTAGTGCACGCACACTCTGCTTGAGTCTGTCTTCCCCGCTAGACTGTGAGATCATGAGAGCAAACGCGTTTACCCATCTTTCCATCCTCAGTGTCTCGGTGCCTGGAGCACAGACAGTGTGTAGTGTACATTTGTTGCACTGACGACTGACACACTTAGCTCCCCTTTGGTAGCGTTATGTCTCCTAAAAAATGTTTTTAGCAACCATGGATTTGCTAACCACTCCTTTTTCTTTCTTCTGCTAGATTAATGTGACAGTGTTAGGATCGTCAGCCATCCCACTGCCCCGCTGCCAGGGTACTGAGAGTGGGGAAGCATGGAGGAGAGTAAGGAGACGGTGAACCGAGCTCATGTCCTCTTTGACCGGTTTGTACAGGCCACTACCTGCAAGGGAACCCTCAGGGCCTTCCGGGAGCTCTGCGACCACCTGGAGCTGAAGCCCAAGGACTACCACTCCTTTTATCACAAGCTCAAATCCAAGCTTAGCTACTGGAAAGCCAAAGCACTCTGGGCAAAGTTGGACAAACGGGGCAGCCACAAAGACTACAGAAAGGGCAGAGCATGCACCAACACCAAGGTAGGGGTCTGGCTGCCCTGGGGTCTGGGGTCACTCACCTGAGGGTTCCACCAGAAAAGAGAAGATATTGAGTGAGGTAGGTGGGGTGAGAACTAGGCAGTCTAGCCATGCTCTATAAAGGAAGTCAGGCATGTAGCTTGTTGAAATTTTGTGGGCCATTACCTACATTCACTGTACTGTTCACATGCCAGACCCTACTCTTATTTCACGTATTCATCTATTGAACATTCAGGGTTTCAACTTTTTAAGAATAACCCTGAGGTCAAGTGGGGTAGAAACTTTTCTTACTTTGCTGAGTCTCTATTTTGCATCTCCCACTCTTAGGGGATGCAGGTCACTCAGCAGAGCAGCAGCCAAGCCCTGCTAGCATCCTGTCTGAGCACGGCTTTGTGGTGCTTGGCACATAACCTTTACAGAGTCACTCCACACTCAGCAGCTGATAACGTATGGGTAGTACTTGCCAACTTGGGGATTGGCCACAGGCTTCAGACCTCTTTTCAAAGGTCTGTCTTGATAAGCAACGGCCTTCTGAACCAAACTATTTCTTTTTCTTTCTTCACCATGTAGAGAAATAGAGTTTCCATGAAATAAGCAGGCCTGGGTGAAGATGGGAGCTGTTCGTCAGCTGTGTTCAAGTCGAGGAAGTGGGGCAGGGTTGGTGCATTGCTACTGAGCTTTTTATGTGAGAGGGGTTTGAAAAGAGCTAGCAGGGAAACGAGGTTGCAAATGACTCCATGACTATGTCATTAATGTCCTTTCATGAGCTTTAATTTGCTCTGTGTGGATACCTGGATACGCACCCTGGTAGACATGCATTTGGGTAGACAGAGAACAGCAAAATTCAAGAAATTCAAAGGTATAACTTTATGAGTAAGTTCTGGAATCTTATTAAGAATAAAAGGAATTCAAAGCCAAAAGATCTTGTATTTCTTCTGCATATGCAGTGCAAACTAGTTAAGGTAAGTGTCCAGTCTCACCCTCAGCATGTCTCTAGAATATGGATCTTTAAGACCATTTCCCTGGACTTACAGTCTAAAGATGGTGATTTTAGAATTCTTTTCAGCACATAAAACTTTGGCTCTTGAAAGTTGCCTCCTGGGAATCATTTGAGTGGTAGACACGTTCCAGGACTCTAAGACTGCCTGAACTATGTACTTAACAATCTGTGTCACCTTTGACAGAAATCTGCTTGACTTAGAAACTTTCCAAAATGTCCTCTCGACTGGTGAAAGGTGAAGATGAGATTTTCAAATCATTTGTTAGAATGATGACCCATTTAAATAATGTTGCAGACCTACAAGGTGAACATGTGCTCGGTTCATGTCCAGCACTGGAAGCTAAGACGCTTCTCTATTCAGAGTATCACCAGCTTTCAGGCCACTGCAATTGCTCTGTTTTGACCCAAATGGATTTGAAGGTTTCTTAGTAGTAAGGCAGTCCATTTTTGGGTGTTTGGGAATGATGGTTATGAGACCATGGAGCTTTTGTAGAAACAGGAGCCTTCTCAGGAGGTGCTGCCTGCCCTGAGAGCAGTGTGTTTTACAGTGTCTCATCATCGGAGCTGGCCCCTGTGGTCTCCGCACAGCCATCGACTTGTCCCTACTCGGAGCCAAGGTTGTCGTCGTTGAGAAACGAGACGCCTTCTCCCGCAACAACGTCTTGCATCTCTGGCCGTTCACCATCCATGATCTGCGAGGTCTGGGTGCCAAGAAATTCTATGGCAAGTTCTGTGCTGGAGCCATTGACCATATCAGTAAGTAAAACCAGTGCTCCTGTAAATCCCACCCCTGCCCACTACCCACTTGTTCAGTAGAAAGAGACAGGCAGATTACCTGAGGAATTTATACTCCAGCCCATTTTGTTCTGATATCAATAGTTTCTATTGTATAGAAAACATGCTTGGAGTCAAAATACAGTCCTTGTAACCTCTAAGACTCACCTACATGTATCCCCTCTGACAGGAGTCTAGCTTAAGGATTTGTAAGGTAGGTATTAAATAGTGGCTGGACCAGGCATTGGGGCAGAAACACTGCCAGTTTGGGCCTTGACCCTCTGGTGGTTCTTAGTCCACTGGACCAAGCACAGGACTGTGGCTGGCTGTGATGTGATATGATGGACACTCTACTAAAGCAGGAACAAAATACTTAGGGACACAGTCCTGCAGAAACCACAGTCACAGAAGAAGCAGGCTCTTTGTTTGGCCATGGATGGCCAGTTGAAGATGGGATTCCTTCGATCAGGTGATTCTCGTAAGCTCTACAGTTTGGATGGCTCTTCCTATTCCCTGGTTGTCTCCAAGCTCAGCTTGGGCCTCTGCTTTTCTGAGACCCTATACAGTAAAGTTAATGCAGATGGGGATTTTGTTTCCATGACTTTAAGTGGCCTGTCTGAAAAGTGATCCAGAACAGACAGTTTCTACAATATGAGGCTGAAGTCTTGTTTATTGATCACCATTGATGATTCCAGGAAAGCCCTATCAAGGAACTTCCATTCTGAGCTCCTCCAGATGTGTATGTCCTTTAAATATATTCAACTATTGAAGCTTTTACTGTTTGAAGTAGTTTTGCCAATTTATCAAACACTGGTTTGATAAACTACAGCTGCCATGTTCCTCTGGCAGAGGAAGTGCTGCCTGTCTGTCAAGCTGTAATATGTAAAGCCTCTTGGAATCCAGTTGTCTACAAATATTAAGTGTGTACTAGCATGGGATGAATGAACCTCCAGGAGTGTGGCTCACAGGGTGGTAGTTGTGGTAACCTGGGGAAAATAGCCAAGATGACCGGATGTGCTCCTACCAGATCAGTCACTGACTGCAGGTAAGGTCGTCTCAGGAGAGGACCGAGCGTCACTAAGTCAATGGATTTGTCTGCATTATGTGTGCTAGGATTTGTTTTGGAGCTGAGAGGGTCCTACATCAGGAACTAGGTTTTTATGTCAGTATACTTGGTCTGCTGCCGGGTCTGGCATCTGGTAGCTACTCACTAGACAGCAAATGAACACATAAATCTCACAATGGTGATAAGCAAGACTTTCAGTCATTTTGGGTCTTACTGCTCTTTGCTTATTGTAGACCAGTGGTGCATGGAGACATGTTAAGAGACTGAGGTTGGAGCGAGGCTCCCCTTCTCCACTTGGAAGAGAATGTGAGGATTAGCGAGGTAAAGGATGAGAGAGATGCTGTGAGCTCTTAGAGAGTAGTGCAACCCCTTTGTATCAGACTGGAAAGTGCATGTGGGCACACATCTTGCTTCATGTGGGAAGTGCTATGTCCCATCAGGATTGTAGATTCTGCTAAATAATTGTGGCTCTGATGGAATCAGGGAAGATGGGAAAGAGAGTCTCCTGTTGGCCAGACTCACGTTGTCTCAGAGTTTAGTAGTTTGGAACACCAAACCCAAGAGGTGGCAGTGGCCTTGTGTATCTCTTTAGAACATCTCTGGACTAAATCGCATTTACCCTTAAAAAAGAAAGAAGCTATGGAGCATGGCTTGGAAATGTCTCCTGCTACAGGAGGCTTTGAGGATCCAGATAAGCTTTGTGTACGGACAGGTGGAGCTGAGCCGTGACCACTGTTATCTTCTTGTTCACCCAGGTATCCGTCAGCTTCAGTTGATACTCCTAAAAGTAGCCTTGATCCTAGGCATTGAAATCCATGTCAATGTGGAATTCCAAGGACTTGTACAGCCTCCTGAGGACCAAGAAAATGAACGTGAGTTGGATTAACAGATGAAGGAGGAATGGAGGTCATCAGATGGGTGGTAAAAGATGAGCCCGGTCTGGTGGGAAGAGCTGCAGGACCCATGGTGGTTTTTCAGAACTGGCTATAAGGGGCTTCTCCGTTTGTACAGCCTGGGTCTTTTGAGGAACTTCTGACTTGAGGAAGAAGCTCTGACATAATATCAGACATTGCAGCTGCTTGTGTTCGTTACAGAAAACCATCTGGTGGGGACATTTTTTTGTGAGCCTTCCTCAGGCTGATTTCATCCTGTGGTTTATACCCCCAAGCTTTTACTACTAGGGTTTTGAGCTTGGGGTTTTGTGAAGTCTGCCTGCCTGGGTATTTGGAGATGTCTTAGATGTATGCGTGTGGTCTGGGTGACCGCTCTCATTTTGACTTTGGTCCACAGGGATAGGTTGGCGGGCACTGGTGCACCCCAAAACCCATCCTGTGTCAGAATATGAATTTGAAGTGATCATCGGAGGAGATGGGCGCCGGAACACCTTGGCAGGTACTGGTCCACGGCCGTCTGTCTGGTTCATGGCAGGATGGAGTGCAGCCCTTTCACAGCGCTGGGGTGCAGGTTTGTCAGGCTCCTCAGGACCCGCATGTGTGTGCCATCGATTCTGCCCAGATGCCAGGCCCCCGCCTCCCCCAGCCCACCAGTCCCAGGTTACTTCTTCAGGGTACTCTTGTTAGGGTACTAGAAGGTGGGCTGTATTCAAGCAGTTGGCACTGCAGGATTAAATTTAAGTTTAATAAGCAGATGGTTTCTTTTTTTCTTTTTAACTGGAATCCCTAATACTGGATAATATTCTTGTCAGTCAGATTTCAAATTGTCTCTTGGTATGTAGGAAAATGGCTTCTTTCTTGGATTGCTATTCTTTGGTAGGTAATAACACCTTATTTTTATTTTTACTTTTTACTTTTTTTATTTTTTATATTTATTTATTTTTTTGGATCATCAATCTACAATTACATGAGCAACATTATGTTTACTAGACTCCCCCATCACCAAGTCTCCCCTACATGCCCCATTACAGTCACTGTGCATCAGCATAATAAGATGCTATAGAATCACTACTTGTCTTCTCTGTGTTAGCCCTCCCTATGCCCCCCCCTGCCCACATTATGTCTGCTAATTGTAATACCCCCTTTTTTTCCCTTATCCCTCCCTTCCCACCCATTCTCCCCAGTCCCTTTCCCTTTGGTAACTGTTAGTCCATTCTTGGATTCTGTGAGTCTGCTACTGTTTTGTTCCTTCAGTTTTTTTCTTTGTTTTTATGCTCCACATATGAGTGAAATCATTTGGTACTTGTCTTTCTCCACCTGGCTTATTTCACTGAGCATAATACCCTCTAGCTCCATCCATGTTGTTGGAAATGGTAGGATTTGTTTTCTTCTTAAGGCTGAATAATATTCCATTGTGTATATGTACCATGTCTTCTTTATCCATTCATCTACTGATGGACACTTAAGTTGCTTTCATTTCTTGGCCATTGTACATAGTGCTGTGATAAACATAGGGGTCTATGTCTTTTTCAACCTGGGCTGCTGCATTCTTAGGGTAAATTCCTAGAAGTGAAATTCCTGGGTCAAATGGTATTTCTATTTTGAGCATTTTGAGGAACCTCCATACTGCTTTCCACAATGGTTGAACTAATTTACATTCCCACCAGCAGTGTAGGACGATTCCCCTTTTCTCCACATCCTCGCCAACATTTGTTGTTGTTTGTCTATTGGGTGGTGGCCATCCTTACTGGTGTGAGGTGGTATCTCGTTGTGCATTTAATTTGCATTTCTCTGATGATTAGTGATGAAAGCATCATTTCATATGCATGTTGGCCATTTGAATTTCTTCTTTGGAGAAGTGTCTGTTCAGATCCTGTGCCCATTTTTTTTTTTTAATGGAACACTTCACAAATTTGCATGTCCTCCTTGCGCAGGGGCCATGCTAATCTTCTCTGTATTATTCCAATTTTAGTATATGTGCTGCCAAAGCAAGCGCTGTGCCCATTTTTTAATTGGATTATTTGCTTTTTGTTTGTTGAGGTGTGTGAGCTCTTTATATATTTTGGATGTCAACCCTTTATCGTATATGTCATTTATGAATATATTCTCCCACACTGTAGTATGTCTTTTTGTTCTATTGATAGTGTCCTTTGCTGTACAAAAGCTTTTCAGCTTGTTATAGTGACACTTGTTCATTTTTGCTTTTGTTTTCCTTGCCCAAGGAGATATGTTCATGAAGAAGTCGCTCATGTTTATGTCCAGGAGATTTTTGCCTATGTTTTTTCCTAGGAGTTTTATGATTTCATGGCTTAAATTCAGATCTTTGATCCATTTTGAATCTACTTTTGTGTATGGCATTAGAGAATGATCCAGTTTCATTCTCTTACATGTAACTGTCCAGTTTTACCAACACCAGCTGTTGAAGAGGCTGTCATTTCCCCTTTGTATGTCCATGGCTTCTTTATCATATATTAATTGACTGTATGTTTGGGTTAATGTCTGGAGTCTCCATTTTGTTCCACTGGTCTGTAGCTCTGTTCTTGTGCCAGTACAAAATTGTCTTGATTTCTGTGGCTTTGTAGTAGACCTTGAAGTTGGGGAGCAAGATCCCCCCCCACTTTATTCTTCCTTCTGAGGATTACTTTGGCTATTTGGGGTCTTAGGTGGTTCCATATGAATTTTTGAACTATTTGTTCCAGTTCGTTGAAGAATGCTATTGTTATTTTGATAGGGATTGCATCAAATCTGTATATTGCTTTGGGCAGGATGACCATTTTGACAATATTAATTCTTCCTAGCCAAGAGCATGGGATGAGATTCCATTTGCTAGTGTCCTCTTTAATTTCTCTTAAGAGTGTCTTGTAGTTTTCAGGGTATAGGTCTTTCACTTCCTTGGTTAGGTTTATTCCTAGGTGTTTTATTCTTTTTGATGTCATTGTGAATGGGATTATTTTCCTGATTTCTCTTTCTGCTAGCTCATCGTTAATATATAGGAAAGCAACAGAAATCTGTGTATTAATTTTGTATCCTGCAACTTTGCTGAATTCCAATATTAGTTCTGGTAGTTTTGGAGTAGAGTCTTTAGGGTTTTTCATGTGCAATATCATGTCATCTGCAAATAGTGACAGTTTGACTTCTTCCTTACCAATCTGGATGCCTTTTATTTCTTTGTTTTGTCTGATTGCCATGGCTAGGACCTCCAGTACTATGTTGAATAAAAGCTGTAAAAGTGGGCATCCTTTTCTTGTTCTCAATTTTAGAGGAAAAGTTTTCAGCTTCTCACTGTTAAGTATGATGTTGGCTGTGGGTTTGTCATATATGGCCTTTATTATGTTGAGGTACTTGACATCTATACCCATTTTCTTGAGAGTTTTTATCATGGATGGATGTTGAATTTTGTCTAATGCTTTTTCAGCATCTGTCGATATGATCATGTGGTTTTTGTCCTTCTTTTTGTAGATGTGGTGGATGATGTTGATGGATTTTCGAATGTTGTACCATCCTTGCATCCCTGAGATGAGTCCCACTTGATCATGGTGTATGATCCTTTTCATGTATTTTTGAATTCAGTTTTGCTAATATTTTGTTGAGTATTTTTGCAAGTATGTTCATCAGGGATATTGGTCTGTAATTTTCTTTTTTGTGGTGTCTTTGCCTGGTTTTGGTATTAAAGTGATGCTGGCTTTGTATAATGAGTTTGGAAGTATTCCCTTCTCTTCTAGTTTTTGGAAAACTTTAAAGAGAATGGATATTATGTCTTCTCTAAACGTCTGATAAAATTCAGCAGTGAATCCATCTGGACCAGAGGTTTCAGTTCATAACCGCTTCAATTTCGTTGCTGGTAATTGGTCTGTTTAGATTTTCTGTGTCTTTCTTGGTCAGTCTTGGAACATTGTATTTTCTAGGAAGTTATCCATTTCTTCTGTGTTATCCAGCTGTTAGCATATAGATTTTCATAGTATTCTTTTATAATTCTTTGTATTTCTCTGGGGTCCGTCATGAATTTTCCTTTCTCATTTCTGATTCTGTTGTGTATAGATTCTCTTTTTCTTTTTATAAATCTGGCTAGGGGTTTATCTATTTTGTTTATTTTCTCAAAGAACCAGCTCTTGGTTTCATTGATTTTTCTATTGTTTTATTCTTCTCAATTTTATTTATTTCTTCTCTGATCTTTATTATGTCCCTTCTTCTGCTGACTTTGGGCCTCATTTGTTCGTCTTTTTCCAGTTTCAATAATTGTGAATTTAGACTATTTATTTGGGATTGTTCTTCCTTCTTTAAATAGGCCTGGATTGCTATATACTTTCCTCTTAGAACTGCCTTTGCTGTGTCCCACAGAAATTGGGACTTTGTGCTGTTGTTGTCATTTGTCTTCATATATTGCTTATCTCTGTTTTAATTTGGTCATTGATCCATTGATTATTTAGGAACATGGTGTTAAGCCTCCATGTGTTTGTGAGCCATTTTGTTTTCTTTGTACAATTTATTTCTAGTTTCATTCCTTTGTGATCTGAGAAGTTGGTTGGTAGAATTTCAATCTTTTTGAATTTACTGAGGCTCTTTCTGTGGCCTAGTATGT